AACAACAACAACAACAACAACAACAACAACAACAACAACAACAACAACAACAACAATTACTAGCACGTGGGGACACTCCGTTCTCACCAGTGCCAAGGTTTTCATAGAGGCGGGCAATACCCCCACTTTGTGGGGGGGCCGGTTCAAGCTCTACCAAATTTCCAAACGACTCTTCGCCACCACCCACACCCAGCTTCCCGCCCTATGACGTTCGGACACTTCACTTCGTGGCATGCGGACGACCGTGGCTACTATTCAGGGCCCCGCGGCCGACGACGACGGCGTGCGCGCGCGAAGAAAAAAACGAATGTGTCCCACATGGTATTATTTGACAGGGATGATGGCCCTGGCAGGCGCGCAACCGTTGTTGCAGAAGTTCGAAGCACGTGAAAAAGTTGCTCGCAAGAGCCCGTTTGACAGAAATGTTGAAAAAGTATTGGGTTTCCTAAGAAATCCGCAAGAGCGCGCGGGATGAATTTTTGAAACTTTTTTTTTGAAAAACCATTGGGTTTTTTCATGTTTTTATGTTAAAATCGCTACGAAAACTAAGGTTTTGGAAGGATTTCATCTTGCGCGCGCGAGTGTGCACTTCGTGTCATTTGTTGCAAAGGATTCTTGAAGTTTGGTTATGTTAGAACAAGACATGTCATTTTATATTGTTTTTTGACAGGGAAAGCGGGCGTCAACAAAACAACCGGATCTGGTACACATCGTTTTGCCTGAGACTTCCTCACGAAAATGATGAAAATGTGGCTGCGGCCTAGGCGCGGCGAGGGGGGCGTGCACCAGGGGGCCCAACAATAATTATTTTTTAGAAGTAATAATATTCAACAACAACAACAACAACAACAACAACAAACAACAACAACAACAACAATCATTTTACCCGAACGCTCAGTGTTCTCACCAGTGCCAGGGTTTTCATGCGACGCGAGACAATACCCCCACTTCGTGGGGGGGCAGTTCAAGCTCTACCAAATATCCAAACGACTCTTCGCGACCACCCAAACCCAGCTTCCCGCCCTATGACGTTGGGACACTTCACTTCGTGGCGTGCGGACGACCGTGGCTACTACACTGGCGTGGGGTACACACCCACAGAACTTGGTCACTTATTCGGGGCGCGCGTGTGCCCAGCATCCTGCAATTGTGACATAGAATACATGACACAGACAGACAGAGAGAGAGACAGAGAGCAGACAGAGAGAGAGACAGAGAGAGCGGAGTTGGTCACATTTTTGGGGCAAGTTCCTGAGATCGTCGTGTTTTTTGTTGGTCTTGCGCGCGCGAATGTCCACTTTACTTTTTTTTGCAAAGGGAGTATTGAAATTTGATTATGTTAGAACAAGAAAAAGTAGCTCGCGCGAGCTCATGTAACATAAATGTTGAAAACCATTGGTTTTGTGGGAGTCGGACAGCGCGCGCGGGATGAAATTTGGACATTTTTTTTTGAAAAACCATTGGGTTTTTGATGTTTTTATGTTGAAATCGCTACGAAACCTAAGGTTCTGGAAGGATTTCGTCTTGCGCGCGCGAATGTCCACTTTACCTTATTTTTTGCAAGGGATTATTGAAATTTGATTATGTTAGAACAAGAAAAAGTAGCTCGCGCGAGCTCATGTAACATAAATGTTGAAAAACCATTGGTTTTGTGGGATTCGGACAGCGCGCGCGGAAGGACATTTTGACAATTTTTTCTTAAAAAACCATTGGGTTTTTGATGTTTTTATGTTAAAATCGCTACGAAACCTAAGGTTTTGGAAGGATTTCGTCTTGCGCGCACGAATGTCCACTTTACCTTATTTTTTGCAAGGGATTCTTGCAATTTGATCAAGTAAGAACAAGAATTTTCATTTTATAGTGTTTTTTGCAAGGGAAAACGGATTACAACAAAACAACCGGATCCGGTACCAATCGTTTTGCCTGAGACTTCCTCACGAAAATGATGAAAATGAGGCTGCGGCCTAGGCGCGGCGGGGGGGTCGCGCACCAGGGGTCCCAACAATAATTATTCTTAAGAAGAAATAATGTTCAACAACAATAGCGACGATGAGGTCGACGACGACGACGACGACAACAACAAACATTATAAGACTGTTCGCTCTTACTTGCCCGTGTGTCATTCAAAAAGAGTTCCCCACACCCTCGATGCCCGCCCTGCGTTTTTGTCTTCGATCACACCCCCTTTGGGGTGTATGTTTCTCTTTGCGGGGGGCGGCAGGCTTAGACGGGCGGGCTCACCTGGACGGGCGGACAATCCTTCGTGGGCGTACATGCGCCCCCCATTGGAATTGGTGTGGGCCCTGCAAAAAGAGGAGGGGGGTAACGAGGGAGAGTGGGAAGAAGGGAAGGGGAGGGACGAAGGAAGAGGCAAAACGCCAGGAGAGAAGGAGCGAAGAGGAGGGCGGTTGCTTAGAGGCAGAGAGAGAGAGAGAGAGAAAGAGAGAGAAAGAGAGAAAGACAGATAAGAGAGGTAGAGAAAGAGAGAGAGAGAGGGGAG